ACGTTTCCATTGGCTACGTTTTGGAAGTAATTGCCGGGCCTTTCTTTCTAGCATGGCTTAGTCTGGAAGCTCTGCCGAAACCTGTTCACCATGGGTGACCCTGTTAGTATCTGAAATACCGAGAGCATAGCTTCCACCATTATTGCCACAGTAGGACAAACTGACAGGTTGTGGCCACCTTCCTAAGGGTGGTGGTAAACTGATTTGGAAGGCCAGATATAAACCAGTCTGTGATTTGAATTTGCCGAAATAATGTGGAAGAAAACTTCAGGGGACCAGCTACATTTTCTGGTGTTCCGGAAGCCAGATAATGGCATACCCACTCAGTTATGGCTCTATTACTTTGAAAAGATCTTGATGTTGAATGATATTTGGTCCGTCTTAGCCCCAGCTTATCAGTGCTAGTTACCACAGTGACAAATTTAGCATATTATTGACCAAAATTCTAGCTTGGAAAACTTCCTGGAAGCATGGAGCAGCAATACTTCTCAGAATCAGATGGGGCTGACCTAACTCTGCAGATCCTGGGACAGGAAAGTGGAACTCTCTGAGTGGGGGTTGTAACCTCTGACCCGAGTTTGTTGAAGTTTAGGGTTAGCAGGGTTAGCAGGACTTCTCCATCTGATCTGACACATCCACGTCCCTCTCCAGCATGTGACCGTGCCACCTGTGAATTCTGTGGTGAATCAGTCAACACCAATTTGTCCACATAGGCAGATAGAAAAGGGTCTCCTCTCACAACTCAGAGTCAGGTCTTTAGACTTCCAGAAATTTTGCCACATGTGGGTGCCTCCTCATTAGGAGTGCCGTTCATGAAAACAAGTGAGTTTTGTTGACACTGCAGTGTTTTTCTTTCCTGGCCATTGAGCGAGAGACAGAGTGTAATAAATATGAAAGGATGAAAATGGCAAACGTGTGGGGGTTGTGTTGGCATAATAGAGGCTCAGGCAAACAGACAGATGGACAGACAGGTGTGGGCAGCTGGTAACACCCTTTTGCTTGTGGAAGCAGTGACCCCATGCGCCCCTCTGGACAGCAGCTCCCCCGTATCCCACAGCGGCAGCAGCGACACACAGCGCTGCCAAAATCCTGAGCACACATGCTCCTCCCATCTGCTCTCACAGCCTACGAGCCCTGAGCACTTGCTGGAGGCTGCGTTCGCTCTAGGTGTTTGCACCCCGCCTGCCCCACCGAAGTCACAGAGGACACAGGTGTAATGAGTCTCCCACGCAGGTAACTGTGAGGGGATGTTGTTGTCAGCGGCCATGAAGTCGATTTTTGACTCACAGCGACGCCGTGTGACAAAGTAGAACTGCCCCATAGGGTTTCTGAGGCTGTAATCCTCACAGAAGCAGATCACCAGGTCTCTCTCCCATGGAGCTGCTGGTGGGTTCAAACCATCAACCTTTTGGTTAGCAGCCCAGCGCATCTTAACCATTGCGCCACCGGGGCTCCTTTGTGAAGAGATCACAAAAGGGAGTAACCGCTAAGAATGACAGTAATGGCTGATAAAGACAGAGCACACAATTGTTTCATCCTCACAGCGGCCATATGCGTGCTAGGTGAGGTGTCGAGGACTATACCACCCAGTTCCCTAGAAGGAGGAGTGACTTTTCAGGGTCACACGGCTAGTAGGTTGTGGAGTTACTCAAACGTGGGTTTTCAGTTTTGTTTGGGGTTTTTTTGACCTAATACCCTTCGTGGCTGGCCGTTTCTTCATCCCTTTGTTCATTTAGTCACTGACGTTTCTGAACATCGGGTGTGCGCAGGGCCCTGGGGATCAGAGAGGAGACGGTGCCGGTCGGAGCAACGAGCGGGTAAACAGAGGTCACCCCACACAGGTCTGGGAGCCTCCAGACCTGTTTTATTTAGCTGACATACTGTTTTAAAAAATTGGAATTATTTTTCAAATCAGGAGAATTTCACTTCAACCCTGCTTTCTGGGTCCTCATGGTAGATCAGAAGGTCTGCCAACAGTGTTGTTACACTCCTTGCGGCGTGGTGGGCGGGGTGGAGCTCACCCTGCGCCCCCGGGTTCTGAGGGGCACCTGCTCTCCACTGCACCTGTCTCAGCCGGCCGCTCTCTCCTGCCTGGCCCCTGTGGGCAGAGAAACGTGTGCCCTGGGGAAACTCCCACCGCTGCTGGGTGGGGCGGGAAGCAGGCGTGGCTTCGGGGAAGGAGGCGGGGCGCCAGGGGAAGGAGGCGTGGCTTCGGGGAAGGAGGCGGGGCGCCAGGGGAGGCGGCGCGGCGTCACAGTTGTGAATTTCACTGAGCATGGAAAGCAGGGGTGCTCCAGGCAGAGGGACCTGGCAGGACACGCCTGGAGGTGCCCCATCAGTGTTGCCAGTGGGGGAAAGCCATGCCATCAAGTCGATTCCGACTCGGGGCGACCCCGTGTGTTTCAGAGTAGAACTGCATTCCGCAGGGAAAACCCCATCAAACAGCTCTTCCCCTATGCAAGCGAAATGCACTGTTATGAAATGGTAGGATCAGAGTCTTTTCCAGGGCTTCTGCATGCGCAAAGGCGCTGGGTCAGTCCAAGTTGCTAAGGGTCCTTTTGTGCTGAGGGGCAGCGTAAGAATCGAGAGGTAGTTTTATGTAAAACTTTGCTCAAGTCTAGAAGAATTTGAGCTTCCGAGTTTTTGGTGGCTTTGAGTGACTTTCTTTCCCTTTTCAGCCAACAAACCGTTCACTGGACCTCGGGTGTTCAGGGCATCATTCTTTCTTTTAAAACTGCTAACTTGTGCCACTCGTCCCTTTCTGGAACCTGTATCTGTGGCCATATCTCAAAAAAAAAAAATTTTTTTTTAACCATTAGCAATTGTTTTTACAGTTCGACTCTTCAAACCTGAAAATGTGTCAAGCCGGTGGGAGAGCTAAGTGTATTTCCTGGTGCCAAATATGGCTTGCCTGCGAGGGTTTGAGTTGATGTGGACACTGTGGCTCTAAACCGTCTTCTGAGACGCTAGAAAGGGTGGGGGTGGAGAGCCTTGAGGGCCCCGGCTGTTCCCGGAGGTGGGCGCCTTTTTTCCTTTCTCGGGGCAGCTGTGTGCGGGGAGACTGGGGTCACGTGCCTCTAATGCGGCCGTTCATGGCGACTTTTTGCTCAATAGCTGTTTCCCACAAGGCTATTTCCGAATTCAGAAGAGCTGTCAGTTGTTATAGTAACCGACCCCCTGCTGAGGAATTGGCCCGAGATGCCAGTGCAAGCGCTTGGAACAGGCTAACACATCGTCCTTAGACAAAAGCGAGGAGCGCCTCAGTGCTAAAGGTTGCCATCTGAACACGCTCCGTGATGCCTAAAAGGCTGGACGGGTTCTGCCGGGGGAGCGGTGGGCGGATACGCTGTAAACACAAGCTTGCTCTTGCAAAAAGGGAAACTCCTCACACTTCGGCGTATTCCACCTGAAAATCACCTTTCCTTTGGCGTTGTCAGCGTTTAAATGCCTACTCTCCAGGGTTGGTGTGCCTGCCCTCGCGGCTGGCTCAGATAACCCCCTCGAGTGCTCAAGTTATTAGTTATTGATCGGATGACGTTTGCATCTCAGCAAAGTGTCGCCAGTTTACGGGTGGCAGTTTTACGCGCCTGTGATTGTGTGTGAGGAAAAACTGCAGAGATAGCCGGCTCTGCTCCAAAATTCCCCCAAAGAGTGAATCTGGCAGAATTCAGAGTAGGGCTAAGGGTTGAGAAGAAGTCTAAATATTTTAGGAAGCTGCAAATTTCAAGTTTTTATGAAAATTTGTAAAAACACTCCAACACACTCAGGATTTCTTCAGATTAATGCTTGCAGCCGCACTGAGCCTGTGTGTGATGTTCTGAGGACAGTGGTTGTAGTTCCAGAATGTTCTCGATAGAGGGAGACAGGAAATTCTGAATTACAGCCCTCCCTCATTTTTAATCACATTCCCAAGCTTTGGCATCCCCAAATTCTGGATCCTGTGCCAAGCACTTTTACCCAATATGGAGTCTAATAATTATCAAAATAAATTAAAGCATATCTTGGGAGAAAAGAAAAGACGGAAGATCCGGACCTCACACTCAAAATAGAGAATGTTTGTTCCTAGAAGAGTAGAAAGCCACTTAGTGAGTCAGAGGTTAACAGACGTTCTTTGGCGTCCTGTGCCAGAATTTAGAGTTCAGGTGGGATTCAGCGGAACTTCCAAAAGAAAGAGCGCCTCAGCATACCCGAGTTTGTCTTTGCTGTTCTACCGACAGGGTTTGGAGAGACTAGGAGGCATTTCAGTGTGGAAACTGACAGCCCAGGTAGTTTCAGGATTAAATATAATGAATTAAATAATTCAACACCTCCAAGTGCCCTTTTGTAACAAAACCTCATTTTTTCAATGCCATGGTGAAGTCTCAGATGTGGTGGTTCTATTTATGTTTTAAAGGGTACTAAGTATAGGACTTAAAGTGTAGCAATTTCTTTCCAACTGCCATTCCCCTTTCTCCAAGGCACCTCTCCTACATGTTTCACAGTCTATGTTGTGAATCAGAAATTGTCCAGAGGTGACACGAACGTATGGGAGGAGACAGAACCTGGGATTCGTGTGACAGCACCAAATTCAGAGAAAAATGTGGCACAGAGGAGGTCCAAATGGTATCCAGGAGATTCCTGCCAAATTCTGTCTATGCCGGTGGTATTTGAAGCCATCCTGTTTGTCACCGAGGCATGGCAGACGTGGAAGAGGAGGTGAACGAGAGCAAAGGTCGTCATTGTATTCGTGATAGCCTTAACCTCCCACTGACACCAGGGCTGGGGCAGGTGTCTGATGCTTCCATGTGGCTTCAGGAGCCAAGTCCCATTTCTTACTCCTTCACTCTGCTTAAAGAAGCTTCTTGAATCCAACCACCTTTGAGTTTAAGCTTCCTCTTTTTAAACGTCCCAAGTGAGGCTGGTGCTGGGGTATGTCTGGCTCGGTGGAGGGGGAGGGTGTTGGTGGCCAATTGAAAATACTGTCTTCTACACCTGTTCTCTTTTGTTTCTTGTCCATTTAGAAGGTGTAACAAAATAAAGTCCATGGGCTTTCCCAGACGTTTCCGCGAAGTGCCTTCTTCTGGGGAGAGAGCAGAGAAGGGGAGCAGGTGAGGGCTGTCCAGCTGAAGGCGGGTGTCTCGAGGGCTGGGACTGGCTTGCCGACTGTTTGTTCTGTTGCCACGGGAATTAAAGTCTTCGAGACAGCACGATGCTGAAACTCACCTGTTCAACCCCAACTCCCAAAAATAAGACTTGCAAAGACCAAGGCAGCGTGGGGTTAGCGGATACCCATTAAAGTTTGTCCTCTTTGTGCTTGCATTGCTGTGTTTTTCAGTTCGGGGGTTTATGCGGTGGGGGATTTTTTGTTTGTTTACAGAGTGGCTCGGGCTGGGGGTGCTCTGTGTTTGTGAGTATATGTATGTTGCATCCATTTTCTTTCAAAAATTCCTGATATTTGCATGTTTTAGACCTTTTTTTTTTAAAGCCCAAATAACATATGCATTTAGCCTTACAAGTAAAAAATATACTTTAGGATCGTAAACTTACAAGTTATGGATGAAGAGTAGGCAGGGAAGAGAGAAGTCAGCAAGCATCATATGTAAAGGTGAAATTAAAAAAATAAAATAGAAGCACATGGGTTCTAGGTGCTAGAACACTTGGACGGCTTATTGTCCTGGAAAGACTTACGATAAACGTTTAGAAATCACAATTGTGTGATCTTAGTCCCCATGGATGGGCCTCTTGATAATATTCCTGTAAGGATTATCACAGGCAAATTCCGCTTAATGTTAATATGCTGAATGTTTTAATATTAAATTGCTAATGAGGCTGATTTCACTGATCGGTATGATGTCATGAGTGGTCACTTTTTTCTTTCAGTGAACCAGTTTACATAGTCGATGTTAGGATTTTCACGATTTGTCATCACTGGTTGTGGGTGAATCAGATACTGAGATGAGACGTCAGATATTCCGTCTTCTGCAGTCGGGCACCTGAGATCTGAGAAGGTAGTGTGCAGGAGTTGGGGCAGATTGATGAGCAAGTCCAGTATCGATCTTTGAAGCTGCCCACAGCAGTTCTGGCTTTCTAGGGAAAGGCAGTAACTGCTGATGTGGGTAATGTAATTCTTTCTATGATCTCTCTTTACTTTTTGAAGTCTTCAATTTCTAATATATTTTTAACACTCCAGGGGTAAAAGCTGAAATAGAAACCCCTTTGTAGAACTTTGTATTCAAATCTTTAGACAGGGAAATCTCGGACATCACTTAAATGCCTAATTTTTATCCCAAGTCCATTATAAATAGAATGTGATTTCGACTGTAATGCCTTACAGAGCCACCATTTCATGGATGGCAAGAAGATAAATGCACGTCCATTTTCTAAGTCCTCCCCAGAAACGATGCCGCAGGCTCACGTGTGACACAGGGGCACCGTTATTAACTAACTCATGTTAAAACCCATTGCTGTCAAGTTGGTTCCAACTCGTAGTGACCCTAGAGGACAGAGTAGACCTGCCCCATAGGCTTTCCAAGGCTGTAAATCTTTACGGAAGCAGACTGCCCCAGCTTTCTCCCACGGACTGGCTGGTGAGATCGAACCGCTGACCTTTTGGTTCGCAGCCGAGCACTTAACCACTGCACTACCAGGGCAGCCCCTTTCTCTAGTTCCTGTACTTGGCCCCACATGTGGAATGGGTTGACTACAGATGTATTTCAGATCATCACAGAGAGCCCTGGAGACCGTCTTTTGTTACAGGGCAGCGGGTCACCTCTGGTATCTTCTCTACCTCTGAAAGACACAATTTCCTGGGGAGCACCGTCTGTTTCCTCCAGACCCAGGTGTTGGGAACTGTCCTGGGAAACTGCAGGGATTTACAGAATCCACCTGACTGTGAATCTGAGAAGTTAATTTTTTATAGTGCTGTAGCTGCAAAGACTTTGACCAGAGCCATGGGCTCCTGGCAGCCCTACCACTTTCTGGCTCTGTGACCTTGAGCAAGTTACTGAAGCCCCTGTGCCTCATTTGCCTCATCTAAAAAATGGGTCTAATGACAGTGCCTGTTCGTGGGGTTATTATGAAGAGTAAATGAGGTACTATACGTAAAATGTGTCATGTATGGAATTTATTACCCCATCGAGAAGACGAGGAAACTGAAGCTCTGAGAAGTTAGGTTATCTGTCTGGACCACTCTGCTTGGTCAAGCTGGGTCTCCAACGCAGTGGGCTGAGTCCTGAGCGATGCCGTTCTACACTGCTCGGTGTGTGGTGCTAACTGCTCTGTGATGAAGAAATGGGTCAGATATGGAGCCTGTTCTTGTGGGGTTCTGCCGTTCCCTATGCTGGTTACCCCTTGTCGAACTCTGTTCCCCGCTGAGCCTAGACTTCCTCATCCCTCCTGAGGGTACTGTGTACTTGAGACCACCAGCCACCACCCCCCACGGCCCCTCTATCCCCAGGTGTTTTCACTTCTGTCTCCTGACCCAGTTCCATCCTTCCGCTGCTGTATACAAGGCTTCTGCTTCACACCCCTGACACGCTGCCATAGGCAGGAGTGCGTGGGGCACACTTCCATCAGCCTTCTGTCTCTTACCTTTTCCTCTTCCTGTCCACGGTCACTTCCTCTCCTGCGTCTCCATCCAGAACGTAGCCAGGAATCAGGAGGAAAGCCCCAAAAGATGCCTAAATAGCAGCCCTCCAACCAGGAACCAGTTGCTATGAAGTCGAGTCTGACTCGTGGCAACCTCGTGTGCATCAGAGTAGGACTGTGCTCCATAGCGTTTTCAATGGCTGGTTTTTCAGATGTTGATCACCAGGCCTTTCTTCCAAGGTACCTCTGGGTGGACTCAAACCTCCAACCTTTCAGTTAGCGACCAAGAGCATTAACCATTTGTACCGCCCAGGGACTCCGGCACCCTCCAGGCAGTTAAGGACAGCCATTACAGAGTTCATGCACAGGGGCCGAAGGCAGCATCTTTCTGTCCTTCCCAGGATTCTATCGGTGCTCGCCTTAAACAGCCTCCCCACAGCAGAAAGGGAGGGACTGTGCACTCTGAGGAGCGAGGGGGAGAGAACTGCTAAAAGCAGGAAAACAGCTGGAAGAAGTGACAGCTGATGGCCCCCAGAAAGGAGAAGGAAAACAGTAACAATCAGACCCAAGGATTCATGTTTTTAAAAAGTTGTTGATTTAAATTCTGAATAGGGTAATACTTCACATAGTTAAAAAATCAAAAAGTTTAAAATGATAAAAACCCCCAATCTCTATACCGTCTCCCACTTGCAGATAGGTAACTGTATTAGTAGTTTGTTGTCTGTTCTCCCACAGACTGTTATATGTGTATATAAACAAACGTGATTACATACCCTCTTATTCCTGCTTACACAGTATTATACTATACACACTGTCAAGTACCTTAGTTTTTTTTTTTCACTTACCAAAATTTGTCTCCAATGACATGTACTTTCACCATTTTATTTACTTCTTATTGTGATAAAATATAACAAGGAGCCCTGGTGGTGCAGTGGTTAAGCATTTGGCAGCTAACCAAAAGGTCAGCAGTTCGAATCCACCAGCCACTCCTTGGAAACCCTATGGGGCAGTTCTACAAAGCTTTTGCCATTTCAGCCATTTTTACGTGTACAGTTCAGTGACATTAACTATATTCAGCAGGTTGTGTGACCATCACCACTCTCCATTTCCAGATTTTTTCATTGCCTAATACAGAAACTCAGTGCCCCTTAAGCACTACCTCTGCCACCTGCCCCTAGTAACCACCCATTTGCCTGTTCTAGACATGTCATACAAACCGGATCACACAGTATTTGTCCTTCAGCATCTGATTGACTTCACTCAGCATAACATTTTCAAGGTTCATCCATGTCATAGCAGGTAACAGGACTTCATTGCTCTTTACAGCTGAGCAACGTTGTCCTCATTTTTTGCAGAAGCGTAGTATCCATTGTAGATGCATCATAATTTATTTAAGCCACCCCGTGTGTCATGCTGATGTTGTTCCCAGCCTTTTGTTACCACAAGCAATGTCACAATGAGTAACTTTGTTCACGTGTCATTTTTCCAGTATGTAAGTGTATCTGTAGGATATACTCAGAGGACAGGCTGCATCCAAGGGTACACGCGTTTGTAGTTTGGATGGATGGTGCCAGATTGGGCTAGCAAGGTGTGGTTTTCTCAGCCAAGGGTGCGGGTGCCTCGCCCCACAGCCCACCTAGCTTGGTGTGCTGTTGAAGTTTGGGATGTTTGGTTACCTGCTAGGTGAAAAGCATGGCACCTCAGTGTAGTCTGAGTGTATTTTTCTCTTCTTATGAGTGAGGTTGAGCATCTTCCATGTGTTCGAGCCACTGCACTTCCGTGCCTGTGAACTGTTGACACCTCTAGCCCATTTTTCCTTTGAGTTGTTGGTCCTTTTCTAACCAATGTGCAGAGGAAGGATATCCCTTGTCAGCACTACAGGTTGCAAATACATCTTCCTTATTTGTAATCTGCCTTTCGACTATGTTCATGATGCTTCTTTGACTTCTTTTTTTTTTTTTAATTGTGGTAAAATGTACTCACCAAAACATTTGCCAGTACAACAACTTGCACATTTTTCTTGGACTTTTAGACAGATTTATCCATCTTTTCTTTTGTGGTTTCTGGATTTTAAGTCATAGTTAGAAAGTCTTTCTCCATTCCGAGGTCACACTTTTTTTTGCTTTAGTACTTTTATGGTTTTAACTTTTAAGATTTAAATTCTTAAACCATTTGGAATTTAACCTGTTTGATAGCGTCATGTCTGGATCCACTCCCCTCCCTCATATGATCCCAAGTGTTTAAAAAGTACTACAATCTGGGGCTTTTTAGTGAAGAGACGTGATACCTCACTGCCAGACGCCATCGAGCCAGCTCCACCTCATGGTGACCCTACGTGTGTCAGAGAGGAACTGTGCTCCATGGGGTTTTCAATGACATCTTTCAGAAGCAGATCACCGGGCCTTTCTTCCGAGGCACCTCTGGGTGGGTTTGAACCGCCAGCCCTTTGGTTACTAGTCAAGTGCGTGACTACCCGCACCACCCAGGGACTCCTGTCCTCAGCACATCTGTAGGATGTCAC